ACCGTTTTAATAAATTGAGTTAACGGATTCAAGTTTTCTTATCTCGTTTCCCTTATTTAAATTCATTTTACGCGTATAATTATGCTCGCAATAGTTCAATAACTAAGAAAATTATAGTCAGTTGTGACCGAATATCTTATACCTATCACCGTTATCTTATTGTTGTAGAATAATTTTATGGAAACTTATATTGTGTATCTTTACTTATTGTTTTATATTTTTGAACAGTTTATGAACAACGAACATGGAAGTGGGAAAGCAAAAGTGTTTACCGTTTTCGTTACGTAGGGGTTTGGGCGTTGTAATCATGTTCTTTGAAAAGTTCAGATCATTTTCAAATTCTCTTGCAAACTTTTAGGCGACGTTTTAATTTTTACAAAAGGCCGAATATTCTCTGCGGATACTACGCAGTTGCCCAGACGGACAGATGGATAGATGAACAGGCGGACATGCTTAGGTGCATTCCAAATTTGAAATTGGCTTATTACTGCCACAATTAATGGGATTTTTGAAACTGGCTTCATCAAGTTATAAAGGTATTGGAAAAAAATAAATTTCGATGCACTTTATTATTGGGTGGGCGTGTTCAATTTTTCCCACTTTTATACAGGCACTGCAGTATCGCCCATAGAATATAAATTTAGATTTTTGTAGATTTATCTCTTGTAGTTTATGAGCAGGCGGCAAAAAACGATTTTCCATTTCTTTTGAGAAACAAAAGTGTTCTCAGTTTACGTGGTAGTGTGGGCATGTCTTTCGACTGATTTAGTCCATTTTCAGTAACAGCCTGCATGGAAAAACTTTCAATGTTTTTGCCAAACTTGTGGTGGATAGCTTCATTTTTGCGGCCAGGAGAATGTTTCCAACAGGCGGGACATTATAGACGGGCAGGCGACCAAATGCACCTGCTTAAATTGATTGAGAAGGGTGAGAACTATATTCATTTTGTCAAAACTTTTGCAACGCCCAGAAGGAAGCTTCAGAGACCCAATAAGGTATATATAAGGAAGAAATTCTGAACCGATTTAAGCGTGTCCGTTTGTCCAATTGTCCGCCTGTGCAACGTCTGTTGTAAACATTCTTCTGATCGCAAAATTTAGGATATCTCCTAGAAACTTGGAATAGAACTTGAATTTGGTTAAAGGACATGCCGACAACGCCTACACGTCTATGTAACAAAAACTATGAACACCTTATACCCTATAAATTTCCACTTTTATTCTGAAAATAAGAAATGTCAGCCACGCCACATTCCATGTTAAAGAGTATAAAAATTTACTTCTCTTCCTTTTTTTTAGGATCATGGTGATGAGTGTAGAGGCTTCGCTCACGACCGAATATAATTTTTTTACTTAGCATATGCACCGCATTAATTTTTTCGAATAAATATTTGAAAAGCAATTTTTTAAATTTTCGCTTTAAGAATGGTTGATGAATTTTGAAAAGCAAATCGTAAGTTGAAAACTCAACCCATTAACTTCTTCTGAAAGAAATATTTCCCTTCCTACATGTACATCCTATATTTAAGCTATAATTCAACACGACATGAACGAATATCAGCATACTCCGAATTTAATAAAAGTGGCTTGAATATTGAAGCAGTTATTGAAATAAGAACTATCCTGTTGGAGTGGAAGAATGGCATGCTTAAATTACTCAGCAATTACCAATTATGTAAAATAATTTAAGGGAATAAATTTAAAATTTAAAAAATAACGAGGACAAAAATTCAGTGTTAAGAGTCTTGTTAAGTTTTGAAAGTAAAATTTAAGCGTAAATAATCCAAACGTGACTTCAATGAGTGAACAGAGAGACAGACCAGATATAATTCAAATCGAGAAAAAAGCAATTGCAAAAAGCTAAATTGATTTCGCTCTTCGCGCTTTCTAAGAATGTACGAATTGGAAGGGTCAATACACCGCAGTCATTGGGCAAATCTTACAAAATTCGAGCGGAAAAATCTAGAAATAAATTATAAAACAAGTTTTTAGTTATGGAACAATGCAACATTTCATTAAACAACCATACAGACGGACAAAAGCTTGGAAATAATTAAAACGATTCCCTAGTTGAGAAGGTGCTGCGTATCCAAATTTTTCCGTATAGTGAATACTTGTCTATTTAGTTAAATTAAATTAATTATAAGTCCAATCAGCTGTAGGAACGAGGTGTTTCGCTGCAAGTCGCTATACTTTGTTTAGGCTCCCCGTTAGCAAATACAATTTATATCAGTTTGTATATGATAACCCTAACAGATAGGGTAATCATGATGCGTTGATATTCCAAACATATCGCCAAATTCTATGCATACGTTGTGTGCAAGAGCGTCTGTTAGTAATTTTATATAAGATTTGAAGAGATCTCCAAGCCTCGCTCGCAATAAAATATAAGATTAAGAAATGTTGCCGCCATTCTGGAAAGTATTGAAAATAGCCTATCAAAATCGATCGATACCGTTCTAAATAATGCGGACTTAAGGTAAGGGAAAGACTTTTGAGCTTTTATGCAAAAACTCTATCCTTTAAAAGCAGCTGACCAAGGCTGCAACATAGCGAAAACTGAACTTTAGTTTAGTCGGTGGCTGGGCGATTTTGTTAGTCTGCACTTTTTTTTCGTTATTTTGTATCCCTTTTGCACGTCAAAATGAAAGAAACGATAAGAAATGCAGAACTGCTTTAAATCCTTTACATTGGGTGATATTAAAATTTTCTCACGAAGTCTACTAGTTTCGATACAAACTGATTTCGCAATACTTTAGCTATAGTAACAAAATACTTCAAAAAAAAATGTGTAAGTATTTTGTTCGCGTCAAATTCTAATATTAAAAATGTGCTTTTTTATTTACCAATAATTTGTTTTAACTCAGTGCAGTACCTTAGGCTTTAAATGCACTTTTCGTAGTTTAATTTATGTTTATTCATTTTATTAATTCTGTCTTTAGATGATGTACACATTTATTGTCGTTGAAAACATATCTTTTCTAAACCATAGACATATATATGCACATAAAATATATTTATATTTCATACATGTGTATTATATACAGTATTTGTGTATAATGTACATAAATACGTAGCTTTGACATTAAGTGACATTTACTTGGAAACAGGTTTTACTTTTTGAAGACACTAATGCCAAGATGCCAAGTAACATTCGTTTTGTGCAAACAGTGGAGCAAAACAAAAAATTATGAATGATTAGGCTCCGGAATCAAATCATTAATTTTCTTGTTATTTCTTCTGATAATAAAATAAAAACTTATTATTTTAAAGAAAATAAACAATTATGGCGTTTAATGAAAAGTATATTTTACAAAAATTTAGATAAAACTTATTTTCATCAAATGTCTACAGAAAAAATTACAAATAAGCATTCATGGTTAAGGTATGTATTGTATTAACAAATATAAAATGAAATGTTGATGCATGTTATTAATACGAGAATGATTAGAATTATGATGATGATGATAATGATGTGTTGCGAAGATTATAACGACGATGATGACGTATGCATAATAATAACAATAAGAAAAATAGCAAGTAAAAACGTCATAACTGGACAAGCCCGCCTTAACTACCCGACATCGTTTCAATTCCTTTCGTTATAATATCGCAAAAGTCGACGTTGTGATCCAAATTTCGCAAAATTATTTTTTTTCACATACTAATTGTTCTGCACCTATCTTCGTCATAAAATACGCAAAATGAGGTTTTGTCACTTTTCAAAACGCACTTCAAAACGAGGCTCGAAACTGTATCTCTCTGATTCAAACAGTCCGTTCATCTAGAACAGTTTCTCTCATAAAATTCTAAAAGTTCGACCGTGCCATCATATAGAGACCTGCGTTTTATAAGAACATTTTTATATGAATGAGGTTCCCAAATATTGTACTATTGGATCCAATAATAGTAGAGTAATTCGACGAATCGATTAAAACACGCTTGTCCGTCTGTCCCGCACGCTTGTACATCTGGCTATATGATATCTATCCATGTAATTGTGTGTGGAATGTACAGATCGAAATTGTTGGTACACTTCAACAAAATTTCATATACTGACATTTTTTGGCCCATGGACGAATCCTACAAAGAAAACATTGTATCAGAACATTTTTATGACTACTCCCTATATAATGTCTTATCTTGAAAAAGTCGTAAATGAAGAAGTGAATAATGCAATATAATGTAAACTAATGATCGGCCTTGTCTGACTGTAATGTTTTTACCTGTTTTTCAAATAAAGATTTTATTCAAATTTGGCGTTTTATGGTGTAAATGATTCGATCCCATTCATTTCAGAAGCGTTCCACCTTGGGTCACACACATCAGTGTAGTAAACTTCGTCAAAATAATTCAAAATTTTCACAGAGATAAATCGATCTAGTAAGTTTAACAATGTCAATCTGCACTTCTATGAACTGCTCGACAAATATTCAGGATTTTGAAAAGCGGGGCAAACAGCTAAGTGAGGATATAAAAATTTTAGTTTCATAATCAATGACCTATAATAATTATTGAAGCGCAGAACAATTGCCATGACGCTCTTCTAACAATCAAAAAATTGTTGGAAGTCGCACGTATACCATACGCTTTTTTCGATGAAGGTAGCTTCCTCATATTTTTTTTACAATACATATTTCCACGACTAGTGAAAAAATTGTATAAATTATAAATACTAAAATTACATAAATTATAAATACTTAAGCAGAGTATGTAAGCAGAAACCCAAAAACCGTCAGCAATAAAATTTTGATTCGTGTAACAAAGCCAAAGTTAAATCTTTTCCATAAAATTGACTTAAAGAGAAAAATGAATCAATATAAGGATGCGATTTATACATAAAAGCGATAAAACTTTATTTATCTGCTTATAAGGCAACAGTGACTTCAATAATTTTTTGCAATAATAAGAAACTTAATTTATTTTGTTTGTCAATTTATTTTTATATTCTACTGCCACTTCGAATAATTAATTTAGATTTTTGTTTGTTTTTCATCCTAGTGTTTTGATATTTGTTTTATACTTTTTGGCCTGCCAGTTTAGCCTTACATTGGCTGATGATGGTGGCGCAGCTAAGCGTTTAGCTCTTCGGCGTCCCACCGGTAAAGTTATCGGTAAAGCTTCAACAACGACCACAGTTGAACCATTACCATCTGAAGATGACGAAGGTGATTATGCTGAAGGCGAGCAAGACAATCAATACGCTGACGAAGGTGAGGATGGTGGCCCCTCCACCACCACGACCACTACTACAACTGAAACGCCTAAACGTATAGGTCCAGTGATACGCCCATTCCGTTCAAATGACGAGTTCTTAAATGCGTTAAAACGTCGGCAAATGAATGCTAAAAGAAATAAATGTAAGTTAAAATAAGGCAAAAAATGAGTATGGTCGCCCTTGTTCCAGTTTTTCAACACCCATAATTAGCTCCATTTGTTTTTAGTTCTTTTTCAATACATTAGTTAAACATACCGTTATGTTAAATATGACGTAGACTGAATACGAGTATTATTCAGCGAATGCAAAAACCTAAAGTGCAGGCAGAGAAATCGTAATAACAATTACCCTATAACTAGATAACTAAATGACGAGGTGATCCAACATTTTGTCAACAACTCAAACTAGGGGATTATTAAGGACTTTTTGTGTTTCTGCTGGCAATAACAATAGTAACGTTGCCATTAGCAGCTATTTGATTGCTAGCTCTCTCATTCTCAATGTTTGTATGGGCAAAGATTCTGTTAACATTCTCAGAAACGTTTGAAAAGCAGAAGCATTTACAATTCTGTGTTTTTAAGTGAATGTGCAAAAAACTTCAGAGCTCTGCCCTAATTCTTACGTCAACAAGAGTTAAACGAGAGATTGAAATTCCTAGAATGATTATGCATATAAGTACTTTTTTAAAACTTTAATGTAAATGTTTACTTCTTGGGGTCATAAACGGCAAAATTCTTATAATTTCATACTTCGGTACTGTGAAGATAGAGAAAATATTAAGTGAAATTTTAAGGAAATTTCGAAAATTTTACAATGCTTTTTTTATTTTATATTGAGTTGAATTGATATAATATACAACAGTACCGTTGGGTGAGAAAAAAAAAACATCAAAATCGATTTCTTACTGGACTAAAATTGTGCAATAAAATTTACCTTGTATTTAAAAAAAAACTAGTGGAAAAGCCGATCCCTAGCAAATCGGTACAAGACTCTCAGGAAGCTGAGGAAACAGCGCCCGCTTCAACGAAAAGTTTCAACAAGCCTAGCGCAGGCGGTATGTAAACTTATATATTTATATATTAAGTATACTTATTTTATAGATATAAGAAACTTGGTTTTATTATACTTTTAGGTAATCGTCGCAAATTTAATAAAACTTCAAAATCTGAGCCGGAAGATAATGCTGCCGAAGAAACAGAAACTGAGCAAAGAGAAGATGTCAAACCAAAGCGTCCCATCCCTGGACGTTTGGCTTTAAGAAAACGCTCTTAAGCTTTTAAGTGATGTTTTAGTCTTCTCCTGTGTCACTTTCTCTTTCTCGCTCTTGTTTTGCGTCTTCGGTTTCCTAATTATGCTCACTTATGTGTAACATATATATTCTTCGTGTTTTGCCGTATTTCAAAAACAATTCGAAATTTTTTAAAATTATCGTAATTCGTTTTGCCAATTATTATTATATTGTTTTCTACTTTTAATTAATATATACCGCACATTTGTGAAATTTTGTTTAGACAATAAATTTAATAATTTGTTAAATTTAAGAAAAACACATGAAACTAATTAAAAATTTGTGTATACTTTTTTGTCACCATTTTTCAATAAAAATTATTTTTATTTTGAAAAATTTTTATTTATAATGTCAATTTCAAAAATGATCCATGCTTAAAAATTTTTTAAACAATATGTCAATTTAGGAATATACATAATACATAATAATACATAATATTGCTTGGCAATTATTCAAATGTGATTTTTACACCTGCATCGACGCGAACATAGTCGCCAAAAAATGTAGAAAATAAAACAATTTCTCGATTTGCCCATTAACGGATGCATTTTCTATACGCGTTTTATTTAAGCATCTCATGCACTTGCACTTATGTGATTATGAAAGTTGTAAAGTTTTCTTTACGAAACCGGTATCGCGTTCGCACGCCCACCCATAAATATTTGTACCAGGGATTCTTCCTGACAGAGTTTATCTTGATGAGGCATACACACGAGTCCGTTTATATTCACAGTATATTTAAATAATAGTTTGCTTAAAGACTAATTAAATGATAATTCATGAAGTCCATTTAACGACAAGAATTTGGAAATTTATTCTTTGTCTTTTGCTTAGAAGCCATCATATTACTATATTTATTATATCTACATAAGTGCAGTGCAGCGACGGTAATGGATGCGAGGGTTATAGAATTGGCCCTACCGATCCAAAATATCAGTTTAATATGCCGAAATTCTATTTGCAAAGAAATTTTAAAAATTAATAATTTTTTTAAAGTACGACGTTATTTCGAAAGTGACTGCATAAATAGTCCGTTGCGTTCTATTTTATTTAATTATCTAAGCGTGGCTCCGCAATGTGGCCAGTAAAACTGTTGGTATTTGCATAACAATAATGCAACTTCCCGCTTTACGTTAATATTTTGAAGTTGTTTCACTAGAATTTTAATCCCGCAATCATGTTATTCGGGTGGCTTAGCCTCGTCTGACTTTCGGCTGTTCTCTCAACTCAAAAATCCCCTCCGGAAAATTCTTTGGCTCAATTAAAAAGATATAACCGGTTCGAAAAATGAACGCTCTCTATGTGAAAGTAAAGAAGCGTGCATCAGTTACTACTGAAAATATTGCTATAAAATTTGAGAAAGAACTCAAGCAAGTTACTGTACATATAAAACAGGTACCTACTACTTAATTAAATGAAAAATTGTTACTACTTTTTTATCACAGTGTTATTTGCTTCATTATTTTTGTTTTTATTTTTTCGAATTTTAAAAATGACACCAAAACCACGTCTAACTTTACGTCAATAAGCCTTTTTCAAGGCTCGACATGTGCCTAAATAAGTCAAATCCAAATCGGAACAGCTATTATGTATGGTGTTTGCTGAGTTTTATTTTCGAATCTAGAGCTTTTTTGCTACAAGTATGCACAAGAGGTGCGGGAAACGCTCACTCAAAACTGTCAAATCATGCATAAGCAAAATAGTTTGATCTTTCGGAGTTAGTATAGGTTTTCTAGAGTTCCATTTATAGGAGAAATAAATGAAAAGAAAAGCTGTTAATTGAAAATAAAATGAATTTCAAAAGAAACTATTTACTTACAATCAGCTAGACCAAAATAAAAAATTTTTAATTTATAAAAGGTAAATAACTTCATTCATTTTTTGCTTTTTATTTCAATTGTCTTATTGATATTCTTTATTCGCCAAAGCGTGTATCATCAAACTTTCCACACATCATTATATACTATCGCTGTCATTGATAAAACGCAAAGGATCAACAAACAATAAAAATTCATCATCCTACAGGATATATTGGTCTTATTGCTATCGGCATAATCTGTTCTACTTAAGAAACGAAAAAAAACAGTAAGTGACATACTGTTATTAAATAATCTATTAATATTGGCGGAAATATATACATCAGACGGAATGGTTCCTTTGTATAGCAAGATTAGCGGAAAAGGAATCTTGTAAAACGTGGGAGGGCTTCGTGAAACGCTTCAAATTCTCTTACTTCACCCGAAAATGTTTTTATGTTTAATAATGTAAACTAAAAAGTGCATATTGTTACATGTAGCTTTTTGCAGCAGTTTCGATTACCAAAAGAGATTTTTGAATGGGTTAAAAAAAAACCGGTGCGAGTAACCTTTTGTTATGGTTGTTAGTCGTTGCGATGCGTCGTTGTGCGACAAACAGTGATGGAAATATTTGTAAATTTATTGAAGTGCTTGCACTCGTAGACGGAAGCCAAATTTCTTTTCGGTCGCCTAAACAAAATGAAGATTGTTTCGTAAACCGATAACCTAGATCGAATAGAACGCTTTTGCTTACTCAATATTTACATGGCTTTTCATATACACATGTATGTATTTTATTCATAAGGTTTGCCACCTTGATCAAACATACTTTGACGCAAACATACTTAAGGCAAACATACTTTGAAAATGATGTGGACGTTTCGCTAGAGGACTCCCAGTTGCGGCAAATAAGTTAGGCAATAATGATCATTTAATAAGTATATTTTAATTTAAATAAATATAAGAAGACACGGAAGCATTAAAAAAAAAAAAGAAAACTCAATTAAAAGTGCGGTAGAAATGCATAATGACTGAAAACCCGAATTGATAGTAAGAAGAAAAACTTTAAATTCGTATACATATAAAAAGCAACATCATTATATGATGTCTGAGTGGCCCACATATGACAGGGAACAAGAACGCCAAAATAATAAAATTGCGTAAAAAGCCTGCATACAATTACACGAACTCTGGACACTAATTATGTATTGTTTAGTTAACTGACTCTCATTTGAAAGGCATACCTTAACATCCACTGGGTAAGAGTTACGTGTGGCTTCCACCATTCAAAATTTTTTCGAAAAAATAATGGAAAAATAAAGGGTAAATTTGACATTTGCTTGTTTACAATGATAAAATCAATGGCAAAACGATACAAACATAAATAAAAATAAAACTATATAAAATTTTTGACTAAATAAAATACTATGTGAAATACTAAGCACTATTAAGAGAAAAAGCAAAAAAATTAAAAATTGCAACCAATGAGTGTAATTTCATGAAATTCAAATGAGTTGTGGGTAATAAAATGCAGGCACTTTTAATTTATTTGGGAGGATTCCCCATGAATCCTTCCCAGGTAAGGGTACTTTTGTAGGACGAGGTGTAGATTGTTTGCAGTGGTCGGAAAAATATACCGATCCGAACCATTTTCAATAGCTTTTAAATTTCATCAAAATATCTCAAAAATTGCGACCTGATATTTTGAGTTGGTTAAATTATGTCTATCTCTCTGCATGTACGTTGTTCACGCTGCTTTGGTCGCAAAAACGGAGATATCTACTCTAAACTAGGTAGAAATATTGGCAGCCTTTGCAGGTAGGTTGGTATTGAAAATGTGTTAAATTGCTAGAATCACAAGCCTCCTGTAACGTGTAAACTAAACATAACTCATTTTTTCTAAACAAAAATTTACAGTTTTTTGCTCATTTCTCACAAATTATAACAGATAAAAGGCTACATTTTTCCAAATGCACCTTACAAAAAACTCTATGATTTATGTCCAAAAATGAAAAAAATAAAATTCAAAAGAATTTACTACATGTCATACATACATACATATTTACTATTATCATAAGAATTTTGTTAATTAACTTGAATAGTTTTCATAAGCTCAAATCGCTCGTGGTTTAATGTGTTATAGCATAAGCTTTACTTTTTAATTTTCTAACAGCGTGACAACTCTGTTTCAAGCGCTGTGGTCATATTCTTCTCTTTGTGAAAAAATTTTTGCAATTTAATTTCTTTATTGCGTTATACGTTTTTAAAAGTTTTCAAACTTATTATAATTTACTGAACTTTTTGTGTGTTTACTGCGAAAAGTGTTCATCGCGGATTCCGTATGTGTTTTCCTTTAAATACATTATAAAAAGAAAAAAAAGAAAAAAAAAAAAAATTAAAAACATCTGACTTTTTATTCAGTAGTTTCCCAAACTTTTTCAAGTGAGTGGTTATTTCACAAATAATAAGTAATAGACAACAATAAGGCGTAATGGCCCCGGGGCCGCCAGATAAAAACTTGAATAGATTTCATCTATTAAGTGATACATCCCCCCAAAGAAAAAAAAGTAAAAATTCCGATTTTCCGGTGTTGCCAATCAGTGATATAACCCCTATTGATAAAAAATATATTGTTATTTCTTCAACCGATGCTCGAATAACAATTTCCCAAATTAGCCCTTTTGCTACCAAAAAAAGGTCTAGATAGCATTACAACATACATCGACTCCATCTCGATTCTACGGGATGGGAATTTACTGGTCCTCGCTGGGAACCCGCGCGCAACCGAAAAGCTCATAAATGGCAAATCTTTAGCTAATCTGTGTGCTATTTCAACTAAACTACATGAGAAACTTAACTCGGTTCGAGGCGTAATTTATGCCCCTTGTTTAAAGCATGTGCCGGAAGATGAAATTGTTCGCGAAATGGGCAATCAAGGAGTGACTGAAATATATAAATTCACCAAACTGAATGATGACGGAAAAACACGCTTTCCTACAGGAAGGATTATTTTAACTTTTGATCGTTATCGATTACCGCGAACAGTTGATGTGGCGTGGTATAAATGTAAAGTAGAACTATATATCCCAAATCCTATGAGGTGTAAAAATTGCCAACGCCTGGGCCATACGGCAAAAAGATGCACTAATGCTGCATCTTGTGCTAACTGTGGTCATCCTCCACATACTGAAAGCTGTACCCATAGTTTTTGCATAAATTGCAATGATCAACACTCAGCGTTAGACAAACAATGCCCACGTTTTGTACAGATGCGTGAAATATTAAAAGTCAAAACAGAAAATTACTGTAGCATGAGCGAAGCGCGACGCACATACCGGGAAAGAAATCCATCTGTA